ATAAAATTTAATGTCTCTGGCGTGTTTAGTGCTTGGTTTATCGCGCTTTTAGTATTTTTTAACAGTGCCATTATATGGGGAGTGAGCGGGGTTGTCCCCCGATTTCACCCCTCGATTTTTCAAAAACATTTGCTTCCAGTGAATTTTGTTATTATAGCTTCAGTGGAATAGGAGATATGCATATTAAACCTATTAGGGGGCGGGACCACGCCCACTTTTTAAAGCATTGTTAAACTGCATAAGCCCCTCCCTAATGTGATCCTGTATACCAAATAAGAGTCTTGTATCTTGTTGTCAAGCTTAGTTATGGAAACTTATTTGTTTTTGAATAATGGCGGTTTGTGGGTGTTTAAATGAACCACACTTGAGAACATTCACAGGTTCTCACCACCCGTTGAAACCACATAAAAACAAGTGAATATCTCTCTATTATATATAAAAGTTTTCTGCTGCTGTCGAGAATCAACAAACATAAGAGCGAGCTAGCTCGCGCTCGGCTGGTGGCGGGGGGCGGACGTAGGCGAGCGAGCGAAGCGAGCGTCGCGGAGCGCAGCGGAGGGCGCCTAGTATATATATATACATATACATACACAATTGGCACAAAGCGCACAGGCATATATTATATATGTACATACCGTATACCCTACAAAGTGAGCGTATTTATTTCTTTTACTTATTGAGTTTATTTTGCGGGAAAACCCGAACACAGTCTGGTATGACGTTTATTTCAAAATACATACTTATATATAATATTAAAAAAAAAATAAATGAATCTTAATTTATTGCTCAATTAATAGCTTACCTTCAAACACACCATCAAGAACCAAAAAAACTAATTCAAGTATACACGTGCACATTAATCCAGCAATACCCCTTATGCTTAAAAAAGCAATAAGCAGAATTGCATTCAATAAGTAAGCAAAGGCAAAATATCAAATATAAAACAAACAGAGAAAGAAATAAAAACACAACAAACAAACATACATATATGCATATCGAATTAACTCTTACATATTATATCTATATATATCGTTATATATATTTTTTTACTAAAGATATATATATATATACAAAAATATATTTACAAAGTCCATAAGGGAAAATACCTGCACATTATTCACTTCGCTTTCGCGCTCTCTTCGCAGTGCGAACATACATATTTATACATACGACATAAAATCTATGCCTATGCTTATATACCCTACTTACATTGGGTCAATTACGCTTTAAAAATTTACAAAATTATATAAAAAGTTGTAAAATTACAAAAAAATAAAATAATAAACGTTGTAGTAAAATTAACACTACTAGAAATTAAATAATTATACTTGTAAATAATTTATTAAAAACAAAATATAAAAAGCGCATTTAAACACACATATACAACTGTAGTTGTAAATTTTTTCAAAGTCCTCATTGGCATACATCCCGCAATACCCCTTGTAACAAACAAGCAGGATTGCGTACAAAAACAAAAATAAATAAAAGAACGTTGATCTCTTCAACGAGCTTTAATTTCACGAGCACATAAATATATACACACCAGGCCGTGTATTAGGGTGTACCTAAATACATCAACATAAGGACATAATAAGCATTGTTAAATTAAAAGTGCGATTCTTAATAACTTCATTAAGAAAGTTAAAATTACACTCACTACAAAGTATTCAAAATAAAATACAATTTAAAAAATTTATTACGCAAGTAAATATTTATCTAATCCGGAAAAAAACTCTTATAAACGTAAAAGAATATTCTGTATTAATTATAATTTATCGCTGCGTTTTAATCAGTTTACACTGAGAAAACTTTTAATCAACTTTGACACATATAGTAATAGATAACATAACAAAAATGGTTAATGACGACAAAAATCAAGTTACAGCTGCAGAAGCTACACGCGCAAGACAGGTTGCCACAAAGCAAATAAAAGGCAAAGATATTTGTGCCACCAAATTCATTTCTGAGAGTGACAGATTAACACGATACTGCACTCCATTTTCATCTTCATTGATTCAAGACATCTCTGAATCGTTATTGGAAATAAAAAACCAATATACTGACAATTTTTGGACTCGTCTCCAAACGGCTCATGACGCCATAGTAGATTATGACGATTCAGATCTAGCACACAATTTTAAATCATCGGCTTACGCAATATACGATAACCGCTTAGACCAGTACGAAAAAACAAAAGCTATGATTTCTGATCAATTAAAGCTAATAATTGCAATTGCACCTACTCCACATCCGAGAGTAGAGCTGCCACAAATACAAAATCAAGAGGCAAGTTCAGGCATCCAACTCGAGGTGCCCGCATGTGACACAGAAACATTTTATGGTGGTTATGAAGAATGGCCGTCCTTCAGGGACATGTTCACAGCCGTATACATCAACCATCCAAAATTATCACAAGCACAAAAATTGTATCATCTCCGATAACATCCAACAAAAGCAAAAGCAGGCGCAATAGTCAAACAGTTCGCAATTAATAACGAAAATTTAAATTTGGTTTAAGAAGCTCTAAAATCCAGATATGGAAATTAAAGAATATTGGTCGATAAACAAGTAACGACACTAATAAACTTGCCTAAAATTCAAAAAGAAACCAGTGAAGAGTTTATAAGGCTGCAATCCACTGTTTCAAACTGTTTGTCGGTTTTATCGACACAAAATATTCCCACAGATAGCTGGGACCCAATACTGGTAGATATATGCACCGCCGCTTTACCAGAAAAATCGTTACTTTTGTGGGAGCAATCGCTCTCATCACGAAATAAATGTCCCACGTGGCAACAAATGAAAGACTTCCTTACTACCCAGTAAGAAATCGTTGAAAGGGTAGATAAAAAACGAATTAAAACAAAAATTGTTCAACGCGACCTAAAAAGAAGCTTTAATAGACCCCAAGTTAGTAGCAAAACATAATTAAACAGAAGCTTTTACGAAACGCAATCGTTCACATCCGAACAGAATAAACATACGTCATGCGAACTATGTACAAGAGGGCATAAACTACAATCTTGAGAGAAGTTTAAAAACTTAAAAGTTAACGAACGAAATAATTTTTTTAGATCAAAAAGTGTTTGTACAAATAGCTTGTCACATGCGCATACTTATAAAAATTGTAAGAGCAAATATAATTGCTTCTGTTGTCATGAAAGACACCACTCAATGCTTCATAACAGCACATTTGCTAGCTCATCCCAAAGCAGCGCTTACAAGAAAAGAACCACGTGTTTAATTGCAAAAGCAAATCCCGAAAATTGCCAAAAGACACCATGTTGCTCTAAGGCACAAAACACTCATACGCTACACAGCAAAATACAAAATAGGGTATTACTACCCACAGCAGTCATCTCCATCGAACATCGAGGAGAACTCTATAAACTCATTGCCTTAATAGACCAAGGATAACAAAAATCTTCATAGCGTCTAGAGCACAAAATAGGCTAAAACTGCCATCAAAACAATCGAATTTTGACATTACGCGGAATAGGCGGAAGAGTAGTGCAAAACTAACACAAAATCTGCTCCATTACCCTAATATCCCCCAAGCGGATACACGAATTGTAGCAGAAGCTATAGTCCTACCGCAACTTACTAAAATGCTTCCAAGCTATCACATAAATAGCAAGCATTAGCAAAAGGTTTCACACCTAAAGCTAGCAAATCCCAACTGCAATACCCCCGCTCAAATATATATAATAGTAGGCAGCGACCTTATACCGCAAATAATACTTGAAGGTGTTGAAAAAATTTCAACCAAACTTCTAGCCCAAAACACTATATTTGGTTGGATTCTAAGTGGACTAGCTACGGAACTAGTTACCACAATTACAACTCAAGTTGAAGGAATCTCAAACGAATACCTCAATGCGCAATTGAAAAAATTTTGGGAGTTAGAAGAACTCCCCCCCATTTCAATTACAACTCCAGAAGATCAGTATTGTGAAGACTTCTACAAAGCCACAACTACTCGATCAAATAATGGCCGGTACGTTGTACGACGACCACCAAAGCCACAATTTTTCAACACTCTAAAAATTGGCACAAAAAACCAAGTCAGAGCTTCTTCTGACAACCCCAGTGTTAAAAACCCAAATATATAATATATAACTCAACCAAATCATCCAAATATATTACGAAATATTCCAAAAGAAAATTTGTTGTCCACTAATTTCCTTAGATATGAAAAGGGCGATATCTGACCAGTTTTTATATCCTACTGAGTCGATATCCGCAATAATAATTTCGACCCCGCAGGATGGCTTTCGCCAATTATGATACAGGCGAAAATCCTGGCCACAATTCTCAAACAATCCAAACGATATTCGAATCTACCGATTCTTGACCACAATCGCCCATGTCCATAAATAATATCGTTCGCAGCATAATAGTTCTAGAAAGTCGAAAAATCGACACCTATCTTACTATAGTGGCTCATAGTTGCCTAAAATTTCATAATTATAAAATACAAAAAGCAAAGGTCGCACTTATCGCATCTATCTAAGCGCTGCTGACATGGGTGGTTGGTGGAAATAAGTTGTAAAAGCTTCAAATTGCACGTCAAAAAAAAAAGTAGCTTACAAATCTAACTATGACGATTTTACCATATTACTAACTCGAAATGAAGCCGTTCTCAATTCATCCAAACATTGTAATCTCCCAAGATCCCTCCGAGTTCACAGCCCAAATCCCAGGGTATATTTTCAAAGTAGCACCCATTCTGGCAATATCTGAGCCAGGCGTGGAGCCGCTATCCTTACTAACTCATAATAAATAAATTTAAAATAACCCCCAATTAAACCTTAATTTATAGGCAATTTTTAGGAAACACAAAATTACTTAGTTTATGCTTGACTTAGATACAAATTACTCAGCTATAATGTAAGTTAGTTGTGACATATAACACCTAGAGCCACCATCGACAGGGTATTGGTTACTTATGCTCAAATTCCTTACTTTAATGGGGTTTGAAATCCAAAATATATGCAATTATTTATATGTTCGAACTTTATTCGCTAAACTTTGTACATTTTGAACAACTGAATACAAACTTAAATTAATAAATATATGTACATCAGCTTTAAGAATAATACTAATTCAAATGCGAATGAATTGCGGTTTTGAACTCCTTTTGTATTTCGTTTTACTATTCGGTTTTATTCGTACTCGTACCCATTAGCAAACAGTTTTCAAGTCGTGGGCAATACATATTTTTTTTTTAATAAATTACTACGAACTACCAAGTATACATTAATATAAGTATAATGTATACTTTAATAAAGGCACATTTTTGGTATTTCCAATATAATGGTAACACCCTCTGAGCTCAATATTTAGAGCTGTTCCTCTTCAACTTCTTCGTCGTTGACGGCGGGCGCTTGTTCACTGTAGGCCAACTGTTGGGCATCCAAGCTGCGGGCATATGGATAAGAGGAGGCAGCGCCCGAAGACCAACCAGCAGAGTTGCCACCTGACCAACCAGCCGCGTTATAGCCACTACCAAGAGCACCACCGAACTTATTGCCCAGACCACCAAAGAAGCGTGAGCCACTGACAATGAGAGCCAACAACAAAGCGATCTTGGCCACAATCACAGCTTTGGTAGTGAGCAGGGCCAAAGCGCCGAGCACAATGGGTATGACAGCAAAGAGTTTGGCGCCAACAGCGATAGCTATCGGACCCAACATCTTCTTCAATTTACCTCGGCCTACAAATGAGTTGATAAATATTTTTTCAAATTAATATTTTGAAGACAATGTAATATTGAACGAATGGACCCATTCAGTTTGTGTGAAAGAAGTATATGCGCTTTCATAGATATTACGGTTTTGAGGCTTACCTTCATCGAGTGCACGTGCCATTTCTTGTGTAGCTTCAGCCGGGATTTTCACTTCTAAACTGTGGGAGCTCAAGAAATCAGCAGCGTTTTGCATAGCAATGTCCACCAAGCGTCCACTGCGTTCTTCAGCATTTTCAGGTAATTGCGCGTATATTTCGCTTTCACTCAATGCCTTACCGCCGCGTGCCACGGAGGAAGCGGAATCTCTGCAAAATTTTAAGTAATATAAAAGTCAAATTTAATGTAAATGCGAAAAAAAGAATAAGCTAAGAAAAAATTTTGTAAACAGTCAATGAAAAAAATTACAGTCATATTAGGTTGATATTAAGGTGAATCGATTATTTGAAGAATATTGTGGAATATGAATAACTTTTGTGTAGTATGGATGAACATCTAATTTAATAATGCAAATAATAAAACCTTTAAGCTCTAAGCTATTTTTGATTCACCAAATCTTAAAGAGTAGTAAATCAAACAATCAACTGTAAAAAAATACAAGAGAGCTTAAGCAGTGACATTATCGAGAAGTCAATATTAAAGCAACGCCTGATCTTTTTTTGTACAAATGAGCTCAATTAAAGAATTTTTTGACCAGCAGGCTCTATTCTCTTATGCAACCATCTCACAAACTCTCCCTTACTCTCTCGCATATGCTCCGGTTTCAGTACTTTTGTGAACTTGTTTGGTAAGACAAGAATCAATTGAGCTTGCCAATTCTCGTTAACGTCTGGATTACATCAGTTAGGTCAAAGTAGAAAATATCCCGTTAATTTGTGAAACTTGTTCAGCAAGATTTTTTTTGTATTGTTTATTAATTTTGAGAATGCTCACTAATTTGCTTTAAAGCTTTTCAAATTCAGTACAGTTCGCTTGTTGAAATTTCAATTTTCACTCCATTGTTAACACATCCTTTTAAGGTTATGTAGTCACAGTTAATGGACTGTTTTTTAACTTATTTAATTCGAATGTGCAAATACATAATATTATGTATTTCTTTGCATGTCTTTCAATTATATATTTCATCAGTAAATTTTATTCTTTTTACGTCACACACTCTCACGCACACACCTTTTGAACGATATGCCATTGACGAGTTCGATGTTATTGCTTCTAGCCGCGCGATTTAATGCCGTAATACCCTTGACGGCGAAACAAGTAGTCATATCCTCAGCTTCAAAACAGCTGCCAAGGTAGCGGGCGGCAAGTGCCAATGAGCTGCCATTTTCCCCTTCCACGCGATTATCTTGTACACTTGGCGCAGCGCAAATGCAGCTAACGAAGAGCAAGGAAGTGGTGGCGAAGATGGTGAACACTTTCATTTTCACGAAAATTACGTATTTAGGTAACACACCGAAAAGAATATTTCGAATTAGTTAACGCGTCACTTTTAGTTGAATATTTCGTTGCGGTTTCACGTACGTGCAATGCTTGAGAGCATTAAGATGAGTTTGATGTACTTGTTCCCAGAAAGACACCCTTTTATACTGGTTCCAAAAAAGTACGGAAATGTGAGTTTGCCGCTGCCGCTATTACCGTTGCGGCGATGCAGTGCTGAAAAAGCAATTACAAAACATTTTTACCGAAAAATTAAATAAAAGCAGCAGCAGCAACTGTGTAGCAACGCGCAAGAAAAATGTAGTGAATGAACCGGGCAAGACGCGCGTCGACGCAAGCACAGTAACGCTGAAAAGTGTTGAACGCGTGCACGCACAGCTCATAAACTGGCGCGAAAACAAAACAAAACAACAGACAAAAACTGAAAATAATGCGAAAAATAAATAAACTAAAGTGACATAAAACTTAATGTACGCGTCTATAACGGAGAAAAGGCCGAAAATGGTGAGAAACGCAAAACATTGAAAAAATGGCCCATAAAAGTAAAAAGACGCAATGGAGCGCAGCCGCAGTTGTCATAAAGCGGTTGCTGTCAGCGACGTTCGAGTTAAGCATTAAGCCAATGCTACCTGTTTCCCTTGTTTCTTTTACTGACGCCATCACGCGTTTCTCATCAAAAGTAAAAACTTAAATGTTGGTCACTTCAATAGCAAATAATTGTCGAAAAAGTCGACGCGCATGCGCCGCACATGAACTGTAGCTGCGCGCATTGCGGTACATAATATAAGTCTGTGCAAATATGCTTGCGCACCAATTGGCATCAGCGCCAATGACTGTATAAATTTCGTTTTTACGCCCTCTACAAACCGCCTCGGCAACGTCAGTTGGCGGCCGCACAAGGTGCAGCATCTGTCACAAGTACAGTCAACTGCTGTTTGCGCGTCGCAGCTTCCTCTCTGCTCAGTTTCTGAAAACTTCCTCCGTTTTTTGTTGTAAATATTTCAAGCGTCTTTAATGCGTAAGAAAAAAGCAAATAACTTTCGACGAGGCCTAAGCAAATTTCGCATATTCGTTTGTGTGTTGATGTTTGTTGTGTGTTGTTGCTATTACGACTCATTTGGAGATAAGCTTTATTGTTATTGGTGATATCCATAATTTGATAAATATATTGCGTTGGGTGTGAAATTTCTCAATTGATTTTACATAAATTTTATTTTGTTACTTCTGAATATATTTCGCTTAATATGACGTGCTCAGCGGAAGCACCCATTTTGATGTTAAAGTTTGACCTAAATTCATAAGCAAATTGATTAATCACACATTTGATTTTTCGGTGCGCTTGCAACATTTCATCATCAAGTGAAATAAGAGTAATTGACCATATGAGCTCAATTCGGCTATTTTATACTCAATTCTTCAATGAAGAATTGCTGTTTTTAATTAAATCATGATCGATTTTAATTTTAGAAATATAACATACGATTCGTTTTTGAGAAGCTTCTAATGAAAAACACGTTCCATAAAAAACCATTATCCATATCGTTACATGATTACTATCGCAGATGCGTCCCCAAGAAGATCGAAATTCAATTTATTAGTTATATGAGAGAAAAAATTATATTACGGATATAGGGCCAGACTAAAGTCTGAATATAATAAAGTCAACCGAAAAGTCGAAAACCTTATTTTGATTATATTTGTTCAACGAGGAAGGTCGATGTATTGGGCATAAAGTAAATTACATATGTTGGCTGAGATAATTGATGGACCGATTTCATCTTTGGCAGCGATTTATTCATCAATATCTATTAAAGTAATCCCCCTCGGATATAATACGCTAGTGCCAACGCTTTTACCAATCCTCGAAGCACTTCTGAAATACGCTTTTCGGTGTGGCCATCAGCTCTTTCTTCGATTCTGACTTGATCTCATTAATTGTGGCAAAACGCTTTCCTTTCATTAGTTTCTTCAGTTTTGGAATAGGAAAAAGTCGCAGGGACCAAAATCTGGTGAGTACGGTGGTTGAGGCATGATTACGGTTTTATTTTTGGCCAAAGGCCGATACTAATGCGACATTGCTTTTGCTCAAAATTTAGCAATTTCGGAACAAACTTCACTGCATGATCCGATTGATATGCCAACATCGTCTGCTGCTTCCTTAATAGTGATTCGACGATTTTCAAGAACAATTTTTTCACTGTTTCTATGTTTTCCTCGCTTGTTGACATTGGCGCACCTCCAGGGTGCTCATCGTCATCAACATCGGCCTTCTGTAAAGCGCTTGTACCACTTATAAACTAACCGAATGCCACAGCCAACATTTCAAGTACCTTGAAGCACTTTATTACATTTTTAACGCAAAATGTAATACATCTTCTTTGATCCATTTCTTTGAAGAGTACACAAAAATGTGACTAACCTTTTCTGTAATGGAAGCACATGATAAACATATGTGTCCGATTATAAGAAAAACAAAATATCTATAATCGAAAGTACACAGCTCGCGAAAAAACCAAATTCACCTTTTTCTATGAACACACCTTGTATATATGTACATTGAACTTATTAAGAGGCGGGACCTCCCCCATTTAAGATTTACAAACCCGCACTACTGCGATCCCCTATACCAAACTACAATTGTGCATATTATTTTATGATTCGTAAGATATTTTGGACACTCTGAAATTCTTTCATCAAATTATTAATGACGCGTGGTTTCCACAAATAAGGAAATGCAACTGACTTATTGTGTTACTTTCTTCTAAACTAATTGCAACACTGCAATGGGAAAATAATATATTTTATACCTGAACTTTGATTAAGGTACTCAATTGAACCACTGGAGTGTTCGCAAACAGCGATATCTGCAACAAAACTCTGAAACTTTCTATAACATTTTTGTTAAAGTTTTTCGAGCCTCACCACCACAAACTCTGGAACCATTTCTAAAGGGTGAAGATATTAAAACAGAAACCCTCATCACGTTGCTAAATTTTGAATAATTCTTCTGAGTAAAACAAAATTTTCGTAACTCTTTACTCATTGAATATATTTATTATATCTATTCGCACTCTTATATTTATTCTTTGATCAGTTCAACTAAATTTTCACTTTCGATTTCATAACAAGCGCATCTGAACTTTCTCAAAGATTACACAAGTACGAAATAAGTAATTATGGTTTGCCATATACATATGTACACACTACCGCATATTAAAGTGCCAACAGATATGCACGTTGATGTGAATGTGTTTGTTTGCATAAACTAAAAGTACATTTTCTCTTCTGTTTGCACTCGTTAATTGTATTACTGATTTAGCGGCAGCCTCTAAGAAGTTAGTGACAACAAAAGTCAAACGTGTTCGTCATATAAATGTGATAACCTTAGACACCTGCTGAGAGCGTCTATAAGTTGCACGGCGATTAGCTTTAGCGGTTCGGCGCAGCAATAAGGTTTCCAGTTTCATTATTATTTCCGCCACCGTCAACGCCAGTACAAATTTTCAGGTACTTTCTTCTCTTTTTTGACTTGAGTTTTATACAGTTTTTTTGGATTGATGACACTAAACCACTAAAACCAGTTTAATATTCACAAAATACATATATCAACATGCAGAAATAACATAATGAGGTGGCTGGAATTTAGGCAAAAACAAATATTCAAAGTTAGTTTTTTATGTTTTAGAAAACCGTCTAATTTATATTTTGTAAGTGTCAATTTGTAATAAAATTCTGTGTCAGGCAACGCATGCTGCTCCGGTTAGAGAGTTCTAGTGCCACTTAAACATATGTACGTACGATGAGCGCGACTTTAGTAATGCTGTAACACTCACAGTATGTTTCTCTAATGATACTGTATAAGTATATTTAGGTTGACACTTATAGTCTCAATAAGTATTGATGAAACTATTGAAATAAGAGCTGTCTTATTACTCTCATAATGCGGCGGTTGTTTGTTGGTCATAACCTCTAGCTCTGATGCAATATTTTGGAGCAATCATTTTTGAGTTGTTTTCCCTACGTGTGGTGGTGAAGAATAGTGGCAAAAAACTCAGTTCTCAGTTCTTGATTAAAGAGTGTTGTTTAGACGCATGGCTACGGCTTCCAAGGTATCTTTTTGGTACACTCTTGCGCTATTCTCGTGAAAAAAATTATCTGTATAGGTTACCGTTGAAAGTATAATACCTTGGTGAACGCGATGCTTTGGGGTATACTATCTATTTACATAGGTATGTACAATATGTGCAAAATTGGAGAGCAGTGAATAATGGTAATTACTTTTGGTCTGAGTGTTTCGCGAGAGTTTTGTTGTATTTTGGTCACTTTTTGGGGTTTTTGTTTGTGCATTTTCACGCATGGTTTTCTGTGCATTTTCTATGATAGAGGCGGCAGTAGTAAGGAATGAATGCCCAATGGCCGCACAAGTTACATAGCGTGGCCGTTTATTATTTACACCGCGTTCGGCGATGTTGATGACTGGAACTACGAGTATGTGTGCATTTAAAGTGCTTGAAAGGTTGGTGTTGGCAGATGGTTGAGTACACGTAACCTATCCAAAAATAGACGATCCACTGTTATGCGAACAAAGAGGGTTATGAGGCGTTATGCATGGTTTTAGCAAACCAACACCAAATAGTTGCACTAAAAATATAACTTCATGCACATTTGGCGGATATACATAACTACATTTCAAATGTTTAATTTATCTTTAAGCCAGCGGTGTAGGAACTAAAGTTATACGTTTTTCAAATAGTAGTTATAGTTATTAATCTATACACTTTTAAATAATGATGTTAACCATTTTTAACCAGTATAACATTCCTATCGATTTATAGACATTACTAAGGATTGCTCAACCTAGTATTCATTATGTTATTTAGATCAGCGTTAAATGATGACTTTTAGTTTTAATAGTTCTCGACAAATTATTTTAATAATTACCTAAATGATCACTGTACTTTTTATTTGATAATTGCCAGCATCACCATTAAAGATTCTCGACCAAATCGCGCATAACGACACAAGCGAATATAGGCTCGAATCCATACATAATTATATATTTTTCTACCAAAATACAAAATAATCGTCAAATGAAATTGATCGACATAACTGATGTTCTGATCTTTCTTTGATTGCATGACAAAACTTTTTAGAATGTCCATGGATCAAACTCCAAAGCGTATATTGCTTCTGCGCAGTGTTTGGATCCATTTAATCGCAATAAATCCGAATTTACGCCCAATATAACTCTGCAAGAATTAAGAAAATATGATTTACTCCCAATATTGCAAAAACTTTCTTCCAAAAATTTAAGCCAAAAAACAAAAAAACGTCACAGTTAACTATATATTTTAGCAGACTCGCAATACCTGTTAAAATGAACAATCTTCGATACTTGTAATTGAAATATAATATTATAAATCTATCTCATAAATCTTATAAGTTGCTAAAGGTAAGGGTGGTTTATAGACGTGTGATTTTCAATAAGGCTATACATTTTTCAGAGTTGGTCTTTTTGACAGCTATTACTGATTTACACTTAATTTGGTTTGCCATTTTATAATGAACAGACTTAATCCGGAATAACGTTTACACGTCGTGCCAATTTATTATAATGGTTTGGTTCTTAGGACGCATCGTGTGGTGCGTCCAACATTAGGTCGGCTTTGCGCGCAACAATTGGAGCTATTCCCATACACTTCTTAGAAGATTTTGCGGACAAGTCTTTTGATTTGCGGGCTTACAAAACTCAACTTGTGCAAAAATTTAAACCGAACGTTCATCAAGTGCGTCGAACATTCAGTGAATGGGCTATCGAGACCGATTTTCACAAGAAAATTTGGTTCAGCGATGGAGCTCACTTCTAGGGGAATGGTTTATTAAGGTATATAAACAAAATCACATAAACGATGTCACATTTGGAATGATGATTGTTAAGATGCCGTTACATCCTCAAAAAGTCACTGGTGTGCTCTATTTTA